CAATACATATATATATGTGTTTGTGGCCTGTTCCAAACCATTTTATGGTATTTGATATCCAACTCGCGAATATCTTTGTTTAAGAGGCATGTCAGGTCTATTTATACATGTTGTTGACTATAGATCTTCAAAGCCAATAACTATTCTATATACTTAAGATAACACATGAGATATAATAAATAAGAAAGATAAAAGAGATAAATAAAATAGAAAACTAATAAAATAAACATATAAGAAATAAGATATAATATAGATGTAATAAATTTAATAGATATTATTGAGACCAATAAGTAGTGATAGGCCATGTGCGAGATCCCACGCAGGATTTTTAATGAGATTATTTGGCCTGCATTAAATATAATCCTGCCTGCATTAACATTAGTGAGCCAATTATTAGCTGCCAATACAAAAGTATCAGGGTAGCATTTTGTCTCGAATCGAACATGGAGTAAAACTAATTGATTGAATGTTTATATGTAGGGTATGGTTTACTTAAGAGTGAAATGGTGTGTGCGATTCTTAGCATATGATTGGGTGATCCTTCATCATGACCTTTTGTAGCACCCTGAACAATACTTTAATACCACCTCTGTATGCTAAATCTTGAAATTGGTTTATTTGCATGACTTATTCATCATTCGATATTTAATATTTGTTTTTTATGTATGTCTGTCATGAAGTACACAACCTCATGTGTTTATTATCTAAATTTACTTTATAAAAAAAGAACTTACATATGAGCGCATACATCTGTAAAAACAAAGGTGCAATAACAAACAATAATAAAAATAAAATTTTTAGACACAAAAATTAGTGACCTTATATAAATTTAAAGGCCTTAATGCTAAATATTTGATAATTTTTATTTTTTTTCATCGAATTTTTTATCGAGTTGATAAAATGATAATCACTGATCATCAAAGCCTTAATCAAAAGAGTTTGTTGATCATTTCTAAATACGCAGTGGGCACTAATGCTAAACGCTAAATTATGTTTCCTAAGTTTTAATGTTCTTACAGCACACATACATAGACAGTATAAACAGTATAAAAGCCAAAAATTAACTATAGAACATAGCGTGTAATCGTACGTATCTACGTATACTCTATATCTAATAAAACTTAGTCAAATGACAAATATTCAGAAAAAATATGAAAAACTAACTGTAAGTATTGTTGCTTCAATCGCTGTATTAAAGTTTTTTTAATCAAAACTTAACACTTATTAACTACGGTACAAATTATCTTTCTAATTGCTAAATTACTTTAACCTATAAGACAAAAAGTGCACCCCGTCACTAACTTCTGGATTATTCCTCTGTTCTCCAGATTATTTTTACTGGAGGTAGAATAGAAGGTGTAAATTCAGAATTTATATACTGTATCCTTTGACAATTTGTTTCTATGGTTTCTACGGTTGCCAATTCGTTTAAAGTCAAATGATATATGTGACGATACATTTAGTGATTGACAGATCAGAATCAAAGCCCGCTATGCTGATACATTCGACGTACATTAACTATATTAAAAAAAAAAAATTTCAAATCCCGCTTCACTGACCTGGCCGGGATATGAAAACAAATAAATAAATTTGTGTGATCTAATTTTCTGAAATTTCCAAATTATTAAAATAAACTATAACAAATCCTTAATAATAAATAATACATTGTAATGATTTCATTTACTGATCTTGTAATCACCCCAGAGTGGATGAGCCTAAAAACCCATTGATGAAGTCAATGTCTGACTGATGATTTTGCCATATATCTGGTTAGCTAGCGTTACTGAAATTCAAAGCAATATTCAGGTTGCAAGTACTATCAACTTCTTTTATAAAAAGTCATTTTCATATATCAGGAACAGATTGCAATTAAGAATATAGTTTATCAGTGATTGAAATCGTGTTTGCATAGATTTCCCCCATTCCTGGTTATGCGCAACTGCGTTGCGCAGCTACTTATTTGTGTAATGTTGAGTTCTTAAAAAGTACTTTAAAACATATAAATTAGTTACCCGGGTAATTGATTTACGCCAGCCAATCAGACGAATTTCTGTCTATGAGCCCTGCCCTGCTTTAATAAGTTTTCGGCAGTACACATTGTTCTTTGGTGTATTATTTTTATGCAAAATCTAGATTCTTCACTTTATTAATAGAAATTAATTTTCAATGTACAGTTGGTGAAACGATAAAAAGTTCTACATAGAATATTATTTGTATGTACTGTATCAATTACTAACGCTAATTAGGAATTTGCCCATTTATGTTAATGCAGGCAGGCCGGATAGTTTCATATTAAAAATCCTGCGTGTTGTCATCAATGCCTAAACCCCAGCCCTAAAAAATTTTTTAAAAGTTCTTATAAAAATAGGTCCAAATTTCAGTATCAGCCGCGACATTCATTATTGTCTCATTTATTGTATTGATAGATATATTAACAAAGAAATGTCGGAAGAAAATAAAAAATTCAATTTTACCTACGATTGGTTTACATTTCACATTCACAATTGGGAAAAATATTTATTTCATCTTAAGAACGAAAAAATCAATGTTCTTGAAATCGGAACTTTCGAAGGAAGGTCAGCCATTTGGATATTAGAAGAATTGTTTAAAAACCCTGAGTCAAAATTGATTGCGATCGATCCTTTCGAAGCCGATGGGGTTGAAGGTTTTTACGTTGGTGATTTTGAAGCGACATTTCGTGAAAATGTCAGAATAACGGGCAAAGAGAAACAAGTTGAGATTATGAAAAGTTTATCTTTGGATGCACTTATCAAACTGAACCATAAATCAAAGATTAAATTTGATTTTATTCATATTGATGGTTCTCATATTGCTTGTGATGTATTGACAGATGTTGTTTTAGCATGGAATCTCTTAAAGGATGAGGGAATTATGATTCTTGATGATTACGAACGTTACCGATACAAAGAAGAATATAATAATCCAAAAATAGCAATTGACGCATTTATTAAATGTTATGAACCAAAAATAGATGTAATTCACAAAGGCTATCAAATAATTATTAAGAAAGTTAACAAAGAAAGAAAAGAAACTGAAATAGATGATTTTCCAGAACATTTGAGACAAACGATTACGAAGTTTTATCCCAATTATACGTTTAATCCCAGTCATATACTCATTTAGCGATAAATTAATGTTAACAATGAGAATACTTGTAAATTTGTAGTGTCAAATGCTTCTAAGGAATTTTTACCAAATTAATATAAATTTAAGACTTAAATTTATTTTCAATTTAATTTGTTGTAAACTGCAATATTTTTTTTCTTCTTCAAACACAGAATTTGTCCAGATTAGATACAGGTAGACAATATAAAATAAAATCAATGGATTAGTTGTTTTTTATGCAAATTTCAAAAGTTTAATTTATTAAACACAGAATTTAAGTTCATTCGGAATTTTTGAAGTTAGGGTTGGGATTTTTAGTATAATTATTCTGTTCTAATCTAACAGGATTCCGAACCTATTATGACTACGACTATTATGATTCCATTCCCATTTACACGTTGGGAAGTTTTAATCGTTATTTTTTGTTTTTTTTTATATTGGGTCAATCAAAATCATAAGCAAACCTATTTGTTATATTAAATTTAATTTTTTTATTAATTTTAATTAAAATAAGTAATTAAAGAAATGTTCATTATAAAAAAGATATTCGCGAGTTGGATATCAAATACCATAAAATGGTTTGGAACAGGCCACAAACACATATATATATGTATTGTAAACGGTTGAATTTAAATTGATAATGCTTGTTAAATTTTAATGGAAAAAAATTTGACAATTAATTATTAATTGAACAATGCTACGTATTTTCCTAGTATAAAAAAAAATTTTACAAATTAAAAAGTAATGAGTCGTATAAATTGCAAGAAAGACCACCATTCTATAATCAAAAACATTCCACATTTTATTTTTTTGAGATTTAGAAGTTGTACCGGTATTGTTAGCTGGATAATACATGAAAATATGCGAATTAACTTATTGCAGGGAAATATTTATATGACACAAAAAAAGATCACAAATTACTAAGGAAATAACAAGTAATGTTGGGGAAATAACATTCTACAATAAAATTAGTTGATTGTGCAAATAAATTCTATTAAAAGTCTGCTTCAACATTAAGCTTAATTTAGGTTGTTAAACCTAAAATTTGGATCTGTCAAATTGGGAGCCGGACGTTCCTAAAATTCAGTAGAGTAAGACTGAAAGGCTTTCCCAAAGCTCCATCCAATAAAATGCAGTGTCTTACATGCTTTCGAGCATAACGAAAACATCACAATGTTTATGATATTTCAAAATTTGTAGTTAAGTAAAAACATCTCTTTACCTTAAAAACTTATTTATTAATATTTTGAAAAGGTTTAACAGTAATTTTATGAAATGATATATAAAAAAAGTGTAATTATTAAAGATATTGTTAAAATGAGATTAGAACTAATAGAAAGTGTATTAAAATTTATTATCTTGTTTTCAAGTACCATTTTTTTTCTAGCGCTAGATCAATAAGAAATCATTTATTTATATCAATTATGGCACAAATTAGTCAATAAATTAATTTCACGGGTAATTAAAATAACCGGAGGGGAAACGTGGCAAAATAAGGTTATTTACTGTACTTTTATAGCAAGGAGCTCCAAGGGCCTTGATTAAGGGCGTTCCCAAGTCTCTACCTCAATGGACTCAATAACGAATCTGATCAGCCTATTTGTCCAGAATTCTGCGGTACATAATTCTGCTTGCTATAAAAATATTTTTTTGTATTGTCTCCGTAAGAAAAACGTGACTTTAATCATTTTTTAAAAACTAAATACAATACAAAAAGATATTTTTAGAGAGAGCAGAATTATGCACCGCAGAATTCTGGACACTCTAGACCAAACTAGTCAATCAGATTTTTTATTGAATTTATTGAGGTAGGTGCTTGAGAACACTCTTAAGTATTTCTATTTCTTAAAAAAGGTTTTAAATATTAAATTTTCACGATAAATTCTTTCAATCAGACACATGTATAACCTTTCTTTTCCAACAACCTTTTCCTTGAATCAGTGATTTTAATTTTGGAAATCACTTTTAGATTTTATTAAAAGAAAACCTTCACTTCTAAAATATATGAAACTATGATTACAAGATTATAACAAATTGACATATTTTTTTGTTTAATCTATTTTCACTATCCAAACTACATTTATATGATTCCATTTCCATTTCTACAACAGTAAATCTTTTTTTAAGTTTCAAAATAAATGAAATTTCTACCAATTCGAAAATGAAGGCTTGCTTATACATTTTTGAAGTCTTTTAAATGTCTTGTCTGTTGGCATCTGGTGTTTTGTTGTACAATGAATTGTATACATCAACACAAGCTTTTGCGCAAATTGGTAAATAGTTTAGAATTGCTTCAATATTGTTTTTTATGACTTCAATTATTTCTTTTAAAACACGCACAACTTTCTCAATAGCATCTTTTGTGATTTTAATAATTTCTTTTAAAATACTCACAATTTTTTCAATAGCATCTTTTATGATTTCAATAATTTCTTTTAAAATACTCGCAATTTTTTCAATAGCATCTTTTATGATTTCAATAATTTCTTTAAAAATATATGTGATTAGAGAATAAATAAAAATACTAATAATGATAATGTCTAAAGTGAGAAAGATCCATGATTGTAGTGGCAGAGTGGTAATATCTATCACTATCGCTACCATTTTCTGTTGTTATTCGAAAATGATGAAGTTGAGAATTCTATGATCTTTCTTTTTATTAATAAATAGAGAGAGTTCTACTTTTACCATTGTTTCTTTCAGGAGGTAATTATTATATTGTAAAATATAGATTTCTCTTAAATATAACATTACTTGCAATGATAAAACCAGTATATAGTAATGGTGTGCCAACTCTTATTAAAGTTTTGTTTCGAACGAAATCATCAAATTGGATTACTTTTCAGTTTGCAGTCTTAATGCCAAATATACTCAAAATGGCATATTATAAGTGCATCATCTTTAATTAAAAGGATAGAATTGATCCATGCACACTAAAACATATTTTTAACAGTCTCTTTAGTGGAAATCTGAAGGTTCAAGATTACAAATGAACTCTTTAAATTTCACAAGCTGAGAAGATGATTATTGCAAAGAAATTCCTTATAATTTAAGGTTTTAGGAGTGACACTCATAAAGAATTACTGCCGCATAGATGTAAAAATTTTTAGTTGACTAGTCAGTTGACTAGTCGTATTAAGAGTTTGATCTAATTGTATTTGTATTATTTAAATTACTGCGATCAATAATATCTATTTAATAATTAAGATTTTGATCTAATTGTATTTGTATTATTCAAATTACTGAATCGATGAATTAATTTATTAAGTTTTGATAATTTTTCATAGCTGTTTTATAATTCATCTGTAAGTGCATATTTAATTTTTAGTACTTTAATATTTTTATGCAGCAAAGAAGAACATTGCAATATATTGTTTACCATATATAATCAAAAAAAATATTTTTCTTTTTTTTTTCTTGACTTTCTTTTTTATCATTTCTGATTGTGAATTTTTGTTAGATATTTTGTTATTTACAATTTCTTTATAGAGTTTAAAAGTACTTTCTTTATCACCAATTTTCTTGTAGCAATTAGCTATAAGCATTTTTATATTTTTGTAGTCATTGGAAATTTCTTTGACAATTTTTAGTGCATCTTGGTATTTCCCATAAGTTTTATGATAAAATGCAATTTTATACTTGACCTCAATATGGAATTCAGGATTATTTTTTGCAATCTCTAAATAAATTTCTAAAAGATTCTTATTTGAATATACTTTGAGATTCCTCTAAGTTTGATGACCACTCGCCATATAGCGGATAATGATGCCAACTTCTTCTTTCAAAAAAATATTTAGTTTCATGTTCAGAACTGTTAATAAATATAAATAAATAATTGAACAATATTCTTCTAACTCAACTCATAATTTAAAAGAGATATAGCTAGCTACCTATAGAGATGAATTCGTAAGTATAGTAAATTATGCAAAATTATTTGAAGTGGTCGATAAATGTAAATCTCCACATAATATGATTTAGACATTACAGGTGATGGATTAACCCACTCTCTAAACCTGAAAAGATTATTAATACTAATTTCACGGTAAATCTATGAACATAAACACTTATTTTCTTACCAATTTTCTAAGATGTAAGATATGTTGCTTTATCCTTCATTTCAAATCTATTTATTTCAATTATTGGAGCACATTCTGAATTCATTTCATATTTATGTAGGGTATTTGATATTCTAAAATAAATATTTTCATATTTTAAAGGAGAAAATTCAAAAATTTTATCCAGAAAGAGAAGCTTAATTTAATTTTTGTCAAAAACTTGATGCCAAATTTTTGCACCAAATTTACTTATGTCTATAATGTTGCAAAAAAAAGGATTCATTATAGGAACATCAAACAATTTATCTTCGTGATCTTTTAGTTTCTTTAAATACTCTGAAAACCAAGAAGAAAGACTGCTTTGTAACTAATTAATAATGATTGTTAATTATTAATTATTAAAGTATAATTTAACACCACATAATTTTATTGACAAAAATAATTTATCATCATCTCCACATAATTATTTATAATATTAAACTTTATACCTTTTTTAACCTTCAGGATGATTGTCCCAATTTGTTGTTCTAAAAGGTTTGCAAAGTACTTTGCAGTGCACTTTAAAACATTTACGTTCTCACATGAACTAATCAAAATTTGAACTTTTTTAATAAGTGATTCATAGTTTTTAGGTCCTAAATTAAACAATACATATATTATATTACTGAATGGCAAAAAATAAATTAACAGTATGAAATAATATTACCGATATAATAGATTGCTGCAACATCAGCCCAAAATTGAAGGATCAGATAATATCCTTTGGTATATACTTTCTATTTAAATAAATTACATTTAGAATTAATAAATATATTACGGAATGTCTGTAGATAACAATTACTCTAATCACTCTAAATAATATAATTACTGAAACTATCCAAATACACGATGCAATTATTCATATACAAACATGCAATAGTCTAATAAATAGATTATTTGAAAGGTTTCAGTATATTATATAAATTTAACCCAAGCTGCATAACGTAATATTTCACATACGGCATGCATGATCTAGAAAAAGTGATCACTTGGCATCTTCCTTAACACTATAAATGTAATTCAAGAGCACGAAGTAATAACTCACATACGACGTACTATAATATTAAAAATATTACTTGGAAAATTTATAATCGAGTAATCTGAACTTATAATTTATTTGTCATAAATATATCTTTTAGTAAATTACTTGGAAGATTTAAATATGATGCATATGTTTCAATCATTGCGCTTAAAAAAATTGCATATTAAGTATAATTTCATTCACCTTATACATATCTAACACATTCTCTAGGTCTTTTTTGCCAAGTTTTCCCCATGTTTGAATTCTACGATTGTCTATATGTAAAAAAAAAATTTTAATTATAATGATTTTGATAAAATTTCTTTTAGAAATTATTACCTATTTTCTTTTTAATTCTGTTATAGTATTCTTGGTATACAGATGACTTATCAAGTGTTTCTGATCTTTCTGCGAGAGTCTTTTGACAAAATAGTAAGAAATTATATAAGCTTATTTCTTCAATTCTGTCAGACATTTTATAGTTTTTTGAAAACTCCTTGAAAACTTTAGCAAAATCCTGTTTGTACATATTGACAGTATTACTATATTTTGTGATGTAAACAATGTAGATCCACCAGTATGTTATCGAAAAAATTTACTAGATCACGTGCTGTAGATCATCTAATCAATAAAGCCTTTGCCTGAATAGTTCTAAAAAGGTGTGTATTTAAAGTATTCCATGCGATGTTAGTATTACTATTTGTTGCCTGTAATGGGGTGTTTTATCAACTAGGGGTCACAATCATTGATACCGATTATCTATTTTCATGTATAGTACAATAGTTACGTTTTGATATTATATATTTATTAAAATCAAGAGAGTAACTTCGAACTTTTGTCGTATCTGACAAAGTTCAAAGTTACTTTCTTGATTTTAATAAATATATTGCATCAAAAACGTAACTTTTGTACATTATCAAGTTATATTTACCAAAGTTATAGATTAACATTAATTCTACCATGAATAGCAATATTTGTGAAAGTTTCCAAAGAAACCTGGTTGATCGACACTATTCAATTATTCTTAGAAATATATGTACACAGAATTTTAGACTTTCTGTTCATTCGCAAGTAATTTTAAATTAATAATAAATTAGTTCTTTAGCAATATCTATTTTAGTACTTGTAAGCCAGACAGAACTGCCTAATATGATTCACTGATAGATGCTTTGATAAACATGATAATGACGATTTTTTTGATAAACTGATCTTGAGTAGCACATATGTGGCACAACTTATTTATTATCCTTTAATACATTTAGATTCCGTGGGTGAATTCCTATTTGTAAATAATTATCGGTTGCATGAGTGACTAAAATTTAGTGTATTAAGATCTGCTAGAATAAAGTATTTGCAAAGCAAATCGGCGGTGCAAAAAAATCTCAAGTTTATAATTTGTACTTATTTTATGGCTATTTATCAATATCTAAAATTAATTCTTTTCTATAACAAATAATAAATAAATGATAAATAAATGATAAATAAATAAGTTATTTCATAATCATTGCATTATAGTAAGCTATTCTTCGCTTCATATTAATATTAACTCAAGCAACTATGTGGCATTTCTAGCTGCTTCATAATTTGTTAACATTAACTAA